TGATGACGATGACGGATGATGATGATGATGATGATGATGATGCTGATGCTGATGCTGATGCTGATGCTGATGCTGACGACGATGATGACGATGACGATGATGATGATGATGATGACGACGGCGATGATGATGACGATGACGATGATGATGATGATGACGACGATGATGATGATGACGACTGATGACGATTATGATGGTGGTGGTGATGATGATGACGATGATGCTGGTGATGATGATGGTAACCCTGCCCCACCCCACCCCACTCCACCCACCGGTAACTGATCATGAAAGAGCAGTGCCTGTGTCTGCTGGACAGCAAGAAAGATGATCAGGTTGCTGTGCCTGTGGGCACAGGAACATGAACGTTATTACCCCGCCCCACCCCATCCCGCGAAGGCTCTGTGTGTGCAACTGAGACACTTTGTGTGTGCAAGTGAGTCAGAAACCTGTGTGCGCAGCTGAGTCAATTTCGTGTGCGCAAGTGAGTCGCTGACCCTCGACAGGGCCATCAGGACCTACACTCAATCGAATCGAACCACGAAGGCGATCAACGACAAGAGGAGAGGGTCATATGGCACTTCAACCTCTATCGATGAGATCAATGATATGATGAACTTCCTCAACAATGTGGACGCATACTTGTCCCCTGAAGAATTTTGTCTCCTGACTGAGAATGAGATCAAGTATGTAACCCAGAGGAAGAGCGCATTCCCACACCGCCGGAAGAACACGATGAGGCCGCTGGCAGTTCAACAGACAGAAGGGAGGTTGATCCTTCGGATCACACCCAAGATGTTCCTGATGAGACAGCGGAGGAAGCGTTCGATCCAAGAGGTGTGGCGAGGGAGAGCATCAAACGTGGGAAGAAGAGAGTGTTAGAGTCGATCGACAGCCTGTGTGCATATGCTGCGGGAGTGCAGAACATATCCTAAGCGATTGCACCGACCCCTCGAAAGATGCATTCAGGGAGCTTATGAGGAAAGTTCGAAGAGGCTTAGGTAGCCAAGGCAGTGACGATGATGAAGATCAGAACACCACTGCCGACGGGCCAATGGGGGAAGAATACCCGAATGTCGGAATCATCGTAAGCGAGGATGAAGCTGAAGATGATCCGACAGACAGAGACGCGAATGACGAGTATGGTGATTACTTTGACTCCCGCGTCAAGTGGCGCGACAAGCCAATGTCCATGGGCGATATTGGTAACCAGGAGCATGGCGGCCACACCTACATGGTGAATGGAGTATCAGCAAGCTGTGTTCAGATCGGTCCTAGGGACAAATATGCCTTGGAAGAGCTCGTGTCCGAGATCATCAGAAGTGGAGCTGGAGACGTACCAATACAGGTGTTTCGGAATACAAACGCGTGACAGTACCACACATGACTGACGACTTCTTCCTCAAGGTATTACCTTACACAGGCTCTGAATTTGCAAGATGTCGATACTCAGACGGACACGTCTACAACGCTGGATCTAGGATGTTGCTCGACAACTATGACAACCAGGTGAGCTATGCGTTGAACAGCGCGCTACGCCACAAATGTGGAGTCATCTGGACACGATTTGCAAGGAAGCGGACTACCTTGCGATGATGCCGGATGGACTGTTGAATTGCGAACTACCTTTGAACATCGATGACCTGTTGAATTGCGAATGGGTCTGGAATGCACAGAATGACCGTTGTGGACGTCACACAGGGGAAATGACGAAACAGCGCCCAAACGGAACGCAGTACGAGAACCTCAGCGTCGGAAGAGACAGGATGGAATCATTGATGAGGATGATCTACCACAGCAGAGCTTTTGGCAAGAGACTCAGGATGCACATCCTGTCTTACGGAGTGAAGGACACCATCGACAGGAACAGCAATGAATTCAAAAGTCTCGGCCTCGATGTGGATACAGTGATTCGTGCCCCCGGGTGGTCCTGTACCCGGTTGCCGTTCGTGCGCCCTCTGGGCACCGAGGCAATGCTCGAAGCGGAGAAGTCCAACTCAGCCCAGCGTTGACTGCGCATTCGATTACGGCAGGATTTGTCACGTACGTGCCGTTTGCGTATCACACGACCTACATCGACAACTTGTGGGGAATTTTTCAGGAAGGGTTGATTCCTGGACGTGGTGGTCTTGGGAGAGTGATGAAAAGAAAGGGCCCAAGACAAATTGGGGAGGATATGCAACATTTTGCATATCCACGGAGGTCCTTATGAGGGAGTTTGCTGGACGAGCCAACGACTCTGGACAGATTGTGACGAATGTGGCGATACCATTCTCCGAGTTGAAAGGAGGGCGGGTGCAAAATCGCCACAACACATGGTCCACATTGGTCGTTCCAACAGGCGAAGACCAATTCGTCCTCACCGCCGAAGGATACTCCTTCAAGGCCGACATCGAAAAGTTCCTCCGAAAAGTTCCTCGGTGTCACCAAGGAAGTCGTGACTCTTCGAACCTGAAGGCTGCCGTGGTGAGAGTGCTGATCAAGAAACTCGATGAGGGGACAATCAACCCGTATGGACCTGAGGGAAAAGAAACCTACAAGAGGATGGTCGGATTCATCATCGAGTATGCTGCCATCCAAAACGCTGGATGTCGCATTTGCCCCGCATGCTTGGCGGAGACGCCAACAGTTTTCGCCATATGCCTGAGTTGTGCAGGGGCGAACTGATCAGTCATGGACTGGTGCCGTTCGGCGTGAATGAAACAACTCAAGAGGATGAAGGAGGAACAAACACAGCCGAGAAAGAGGTTGATGAAGCGATCGACAAGCTCTTGAAAAAGAACGAGAAGGACTTGAGGAAAACCAAGCAAGAAAGTGTCGATAGAGCAGTCCAAGAAGCCGCCATTCGGCGGAGACTTCGACTTCAATTCAGAGGAAGTCGACTACGACCCCGACGATGACATCATAGTGGACGACAAGGATGGCACGGAGGAACTACCACCAGGAGACGTAGTCATGGATGAAGAATTTCAAGAAGAGGAAGAGGAAGACGACGCAACTGCAAAAGAATTGAAGAAAAGAGACGAGTACGTCAGGTCTCTGCCCACAGCCTCTTGACTCCAACCTGCGTGCCAAACCTGAGGAAATTGGCCTCCAGAACAATGACGCAGAATCGCAGTGTGCACGCATCTATGACAACGCACTGTTCATCTTGATTGCCCTTCTGTACGAAAGGTACTGTGATGATCGATCAGCAACGGGTGCTGTGAGATACTTCGAACAAATGAAGAGCGAACGAGTGATGAAAACCGGTTGAACGTTCCAACTCCGCAAGGACCTCGATAATTTGGTTCCTTACTGTGGCGAAGACGAGGAAGGCAACCTTGTTCCTCCTCCAGAGGACATCGTTGAGGAATTCTTTGAATCCGTCCAGAAGAAGGACGAACGAGGATTTGTAAATTGGAGCGGCCGCGTCCTCGAGTGCATGAACATCACCATCCAGACCATGATGATCGCCGAGAGGATGATGAAATTCATGGTGGAAGCCGGTTTAAAATAGATGGCCTGAATGACCTCAGACTCCATCCCGATGAGCGGCACATTCCCTCAAAGAGGAAGAGAGCCATGAATGCCCAATCTGTGTTCGTATCGCAGATATTGAAGGAGGTCTATCCCAGAATCCTACTCGTACTTCAGAGGAGGAACGGGAGGCTTTCAGAAATGCGTCAATATTCCCGGAGTATACTTCTGTCATCGTGCTCAGACACGTCGCGTGGAATGGATAGCCGTTGCTCATCAATGTGGAGTAGCATTGCCAGCTATCCTGAAACAGAAATTGGAGTACGCAATAACATTTGCTGAGCGCGAAGAGAGGAGATTGGGCAAGAGCACGATGGTCAAAGATATGCTTCCAAACATGGGGGGTGAAACCGTCAAGAACTTGAAGGACGATGTTTCTGCATCCACCGCAGACACAGCACCAAATCACCTCGTGGGCCAAAGACGGACAAAACAAGAACATACACAGGAGGAAGTGAGAAGAAAGAAAGTCCACGGCCCGCACCGAGCCATCTCCATCGGCACCATCGATCAAGTTCACGGACAAGCGACCGCGACACCAGTGCCTATCAGGGATCCAAAGGGAAACACAAGAGCAACCCCAAAGGAAAAGGGGACGACACAGGAAAAGGCAAAGGTGGCAACAGGTCCAATTGGGAATACTATGGACACCAACACTGGCAGAAGAAGTGGTGGGAATAATCGCACTACATCATGGAAAAGAGCTATTGAGAAGAGTGAGGGTAGTGTAGTTCTCACCCAGCCAGATTTTTGCACAATGCCATTTTGGCATACAATTTGAATAAGAGCACGGTATATAGCCAAGCGTAGTGTAGGACATAGCTAAAGTCTCACATTTTGATTGTCGGCCTATCTAGCTGCAATCACGCCGAGACAAACTTGCTGTGTGGATCCCCCGGATCACCAGCGCAAATGTACAATAGCTAGTGTCCAATATTTCGGTCTCATTCCTGGTGCCCACCTACATGAACGTTAGGTGGACATGGGGGGCGCGACTGTATGTTACATAACAACGCTTTTGGCTCAAGACCCCTATGCAGCGTGAAAAGAGTGCACGTGCTCCGCATGTTTTGCCGCTTCGCTGTGCTGACTAATTAGGTGATTAAGCTTTAGGCAATTCTCAAGTACTTATCATAGCAGGACTCAAGGACCACATTGGGTCACTTGATTTCACAATAAATAAATAAATACATAAATAAATAAATATATATATATATATGTACGATTCAGGTTCTCGGCTCCAACCCCCACTCCACAAACGATACGTAGTTCGTAAAGGGCCGGGGCCGCAAACCGACAGCCGCGTGTCCCTTTCGGGTAGTCCGCTCGCTGAAGCCGCTGAGGACAAATCCTTGCAAAGGCAGAATGGAATGCGGAAAAGAAATGTGCTGGCCTCCGGTGGTGCTTGTGCAGCTACTGGAATACAATCATTTGTGATGTCTTGGGAGTTCGGAGTTTGAGGCTACTGTAGGGGGGTGGCCTGATGGGCACCCAACTTGTAACACTGCTGAGGACGAGTCTTTGCCAAGTACTGCACCTTTGCAGTGTCCATTAATAATATTTAGGCTGCATGACAGACTGACAGACATGACGGGGGCTTTGCGTCGTATGTTCGGCTCAAGCTGCATTTTGCAGCCTTTCCCAACCGAACCGTCGAGCCATTCATGCGGATCATGGTTTTGATATCCATATCCTTTCTTGTTGTTTCGCTGCTCGCTACGTTTCAAGCTGCCCCAGTGCTTGAAACATGTGCGATTGAGGAGCCGTTATTCTTGCAGATGGGCATTCGGGTGGATGATGGGCAGTCTCAGAAGTTGGCGGCTCTTCTGCTTGAGGTTCGGAAGGAGTGTTTGAGAGCCACGAGTTCTTGTCTGCCAGTTCTCGAGACGCTGCGTTTGGCAGTGTGGCCACACGTGCAAGCTGAGACCAATGGCTCACTCAGTCCGTGGATGCCTGGTTGGAATTTGGAGCCCATATTTGATGCTGACGCCCAAGCTAGCGGGGTTTCTCGCTTGGGGACGAAGATGGCCTTCCGCCACATCTTCAAAGCTGCTGGCTTTACAGCCTATGCAAATCTTCAGCAAGTCACCACTGGCTTGAGGCCACAATCCTACCTAGAGTTGTGCAATGCCTTTCACTCAACAGACCTGAAACACAGAGCTTTTACATTCGTTCGCGATCCAATTTCTCGCTTCATCTCAGGCTACGCTGAGATCGATTATCGAAGTCGTGCTGTCCGTGACTGGCCCATTTTTGACTCTCTAGCCAAGCTGCTCCGAGAGTATCCGGTAGGCAGCGCTGTTCGAGCTGCTGCTTTCTTTGAGGAGTTCCTGCGCAGTGGGATCGATGTTAATGGTCATGTGAGGCCACAGCTGGAGTTCTTGCAACCATTGTCAGGCTGTTCCTTGCCGATGGACTTCATTGGCAAAACTGAACGTGCTGAGGAACACTGGGCCAAGTTGTTTGACATGCAGAATGAGACGGTCCCAAAGTTTGACAGCCTCCTCGCACTCCACAGTCACGGTGAGCGAGATGAGCAGGCCATGAAGACATTCCTGGCAAGCTCAGCCAAATACATGCGGGCGCTTTGCTGGCTTTACTTGGGGGACTTTGCGGTTTTTGAATATGAGCTGCCCAATGAATGTCGACAAGAACCCATGCAGAGTGCAGTTGCAATGCTGCGTCGGGTGTCTCTTTCGGGTAATCCGCTCGCTTAAGTAAGTCGCTGAGGACAAATCCTTGCAAAGGCAGAGCGGAAGAAATGTGCTGGCCTCCGGCGGCGCTTGTGCAGCCACTGGAATACAATCATTTGTGATGTCTTGGGAGTTCGGAGTTTGAGGCTACTGTAGGGGGGTGGCCGGAAGGGCACCCAACTTGTAACACTGCTGAGGACGAGTCTTTGCCAAGTACTGCACCTTTGCAGTGTCCATTAATAATATTTAGGCTGCATGACAGACTGACAGACATGACGGGGGCTTTGCGTCGTATGTTCGGCTCAAGCTGCATTTTGCAGCCTTTCCCAACCGAACCGTCGAGCCATTCATGCGGATCATGGTTTTGATATCCATATCCTTTCTTGTTGTTTCGCTGCTCGCTACGTTTCAAGCTGCCCCAGTGCCTGAAACATGTGCGATTGAGGAGCCGTTATTCTTGCAGATGGGCATTCGGGTGGATGATGGGCAGTCTCAGAAGTTGGCGGCTCTTCTGCTTGAGGTTCGGAAGGAGTGTTTGAGAGCCACGAGTTCTTGTCTGCCAGTTCTCGAGACGCTGCGTTTGGCAGTGTGGCCACACGTGCAAGCTGAGATCAATGGCTCACTCAGTCCGTGGATGCCTGGTTGGAATTTGGAGCCTTTGCGTGGTATCCTTGCGCAAGCCGGCGGAGTGTCTGGCATGGGGACGAAGATGGCCTTTCGCCACATCTTCAAAGCTGCCGGAGATACAATCTTTGCAAATCTTCAGGGAGTCACCACTGACTTCAAGCAACAGGACTACCAGGAGTTGTGCAATGCCTTTCATTCAACAGACCTGAAACACATAGCTTTTACATTCGTTCGCGATCCAATTTCTCGCTTTATCTCAGGTTACAGTGAGATCGAATATAGGACTCGTACTGGCCTTGACTGGCCCATTTTTGGCTCTCTAGCCAAGCTGCTCCGAGAGTATCCGGTAGGCAGCGCTGTTCGAGCTGCTGCTTTCTTTGAGGAGTTCCTGCGCAGTGGGATCGATGTCAATGGTCATGTGAGGCCACAGCTAGAGTTCTTGCAACCATTGTCAGGCTGTTCCTTGCCGATGGACTTCATTGGCAAAACTGAACGTGCTGAGGGGCACTGGGCCAAGTTGTTTGAACTGCAGAATGAGACGGTCCCAGAGTTTGACAGCCTCCTCGCACTCCACAGTCACGGTTGGCGAGATGAGCAGGCCATGAAGACATTCCTGGCAAGCTCAGCCAAATACATGCGGGCGCTTTGCTGGCTTTACTTGGGGGACTTTGCGGTTTTTGAATATGAGCTGCCCAATGAATGTCGACAAGAACCCATGCAGAGTGCAGTTGCAATGCTGCGTCGGGTGTCTCTTTCGGGTAATCCGCTCGCTTAAGTAAGTCGCTGAGGACAAATCCTTGCAAAGGCAGGGCGGAATGCGGAAAAGAAATGTGCTGGCCTCCGGTGGTGCTTGTGCGGCCACTGGAATACAATCATTTGTGATGTCTTGGGAGTTCGGAGTTTGAGGCTACTGTAGGGGGGTGGCCTGATGGGCACCCAACTTGTAACACTGCTGAGGACGAGTCTTTGCCAAGTACTGCACCTTTGCAGTGTCCATTAATAATATTTAGGCTGCATGACAGACTGACAGACATGACGGGGGCTTTGCGTCGTATGTTCGGCTCAAGCTGCATTTTGCAGCCTTTCCCAACCGAACCGTCGAGCCATTCATGCGGATCATGGTTTTGATATCCATATCCTTTCTTGTTGTTTCGCTGCTCGCTACGTTTCAAGCTGCCCCAGTGCTTGAAACATGTGCGATTGAGGAGCCGTTATTCTTGCAGATGGGCATTCGGGTGGATGATGGGCAGTCTCAGAAGTTGGCGGCTCTTCTGCTTGAGGTTCGGAAGGAGTGTTTGAGAGCCACGAGTTCTTGTCTGCCAGTTCTCGAGACGCTGCGTTTGGCAGTGTGGCCACACGTGCAAGCTGAGATCAATGGCTCACTCAGTCCGTGGATGCCTGGTTGGAATTTGGAGCCTTTGCGTGGTATCCTTGCGCAAGCCGGCGGAGTGTCTGGCATGGGGACGAAGATGGCCTTTCGCCACATCTTCAAAGCTGCCGGAGATACAATCTTTGCAAATCTTCAGGGAGTCACCGCTGACTTCAAGCAACAGGACTACCAGGAGTTGTGCAATGCCTTTCATTCAACAGACCTGAAGCACATAGCTTTTACATTCGTTCGCGATCCAATTTCTCGCTTTATCTCAGGTTACAGTGAGATCGAATATAGGACTCGTACTGGCCTTGACTGGCCCATTTTTGGCTCTCTAGCCAAGCTGCTCCGAGAGTATCCGGTAGGCAGCGCTGTTCGAGCTGCTGCTTTCTTTGAGGAGTTCCTGCGCAGTGGGATCGATGTCAATGGTCATGTGAGGCCACAGCTAGAGTTCTTGCAACCATTGTCAGGCTGTTCCTTGCCGATGGACTTCATTGGCAAAACTGAACGTGCTGAGGGGCACTGGGCCAAGTTGTTTGAACTGCAGAATGAGACGGTCCCAGAGTTTGACAGCCTCCTCGCACTCCACAGTCACGGTCGGCGAGATGAGCAGGCCATGAAGACATTCCTGGCAAGCTCAGCCAAATACATGCGGGCGCTTTGCTGGCTTTACTTGGGAGACTTTGCGGTTTTTGAATATGAGCTGCCCAATGAATGTCGACAAGAACCCATGCAGAGTGCAGTTGCAATGCTGCGTCGGGTGTCTCTTTCGGGTAATCCGCTCGCTTAAGTCAGTCGCTGAGGACAAATCCTTGCAAAGGCAGGGCGGAATGCGGAAAAGAAATGTGCTGGCCTCCGGTGGTGCTTGTGCAGCCACTGGAATACAATCATTTGTGATGTCTTGGGAGTTCGGAGTTTGAGGCTACTGTAGGGGGGTGGCCGGAAGGGCACCCAACTTGTAACACTGCTGAGGACGAGTCTTTGCCAAGTACTGCACCTTTGCAGTGTCCATTCATAATATTTAGGCTGCATGACAGACTGACAGACATGACGGGGGCTTTGCGTCGTATGTTCGGCTCAAGCTGCACTTTGTACAGATCTTTCTGAGTTTACTTTTGGTTTTGGGCTTTGCAAGATCAGCTAGCAACAAGCATTGGTGCCAGACCGTTGCAGCCCAAGAAGGCCATCTCAACATTGCCCAGCTGCTTGTCAAAATTGGGACCAATGCTTGCGGGGTACAGGGATCAACCGACGACAGAGGGGTAACCGCTTTGCATCGTTTTTTCTGGAACATGATTCACATGGATTATTTGCTCATGATTTGGCATCTCAGACTGGGTGGAAGTCGCATTCTCACAAGCTGAGCAGGATGCCGCCCAAACCCAAACATACTCAAACAAAATGTGAAGAACCACCGTTAAGGTCACCACCATCCCACTGCATGGTGCAGGATGTGTTTCTTGACTACGCCCCGAAGTGATCCAATGGATCGGTTGTCCAATTTGTTGATTGTTACTGTTGCCTATGCCACCTGGGTTTCACCTGGGTGTCATGACATCATGACCCCATGGCCGAAATCATGGCACCCAGGTCATGGTCTTGCACTTCGCGACGATGGCCTCCGGGTTGGGTGGCCCAGGTGGTTCAGCGACGGTGGCCAGGTGGTTCATTGAATGTTGGGTTCTAAGGTGGTTGAGTTGGTGATGATGATGATAATGGTGATGATGATGATGATGAGGAGGAGGGAGGATAATGGTGATCAAGATGATGATGATGATGATGATGACGATGATGATGATGATGTTGATGATGATGATGTTGATGATGGTGATGGTAATGATGGTGATGGTGATGATGGTGATGATGGTGATGACGGTGATGATGGTGATGGTGATTCTTATATATTATTGTCCTTATTATTACTAATTGTGATTGCGAAGGTGAGGATGCCGTTTATTGCTATGTATCATTATTGTGAAGGTGATGATGGCTTCTTGATAGGAAAATCAACACTCCAACACGGGAGCTGAAAACACCGAAGAGCCCAGAACACATTTTGAAGATGTTCGGAGATTTTTTGGGATCCTGGGATCCCTGATGACAAGGCATCAGCCTTCGGCGTTCCCAGCCTACGTGGCAATGGAAGGCCGTGTTCCCCAGACCAGGTCGTGGCCATTCTCCATTGGATGATCGATAGCCATCCATAGGTATCCATAGGTGACAACGTGTGGCATGGACATCTCAGGGACTGAGCAGATAACTGCAGATTGGATTCTTAGAGCGTTGTTTCTTGATTCCTGGTGCACAGGTGCAGTTGCTCAACTGAGCGGTGCACCGGGCAGCTACTTGCCCCGCACCCTCGGAGGTCGGGATACTGGTGCTGCACGGGGGATTTTGCACAGTTTGGGAGGAACCATGGTGGCGTCTTGGGTTTTTATAAGAATGTTATTTATTTATAGAATGGGCTAGCGCCCTGGTGCCGCCGACCCCCCTATTGGGGGTGGTCTGGCTCATGTTGTTGCCCTGACCGTTGACCGTTGAATCGCAGCCAGTTGGCTCAAGGCTTTCCAGTGGACCAGCTTCCAGTCGGTTACCCTTTGTGAATGCAAGAACAGCCGAATAGCCACCATTTATACGATTTGGACCAATTTGGAATAGAAATGGGACTTGGAGTATGGAATATAGTTGCAATGTCTATCGGAGGATAGTTGCCCTACTACTCCAACAACGGACCAAAAACGGACCGAGTGAGCCATGTCGTATGGGCGTCATGGGCCCGGGCCCAGAGAATGACGAGATATGACGAGTATCTACATATCCATAGAACAGGCTATGCTATATGTAGTATCAATTTCAATCATGCATACATGAAAAGTATGTAAACAACACACGCAACAAGGTAGAATACATACACGTGTAGACAGTGACAGAGAGACATATACGAGTCCATGCATACATGGTATCGTGTCTGACACACTTTCCACACAACATGTGTCTCTCTATCCACACCACAAGCATCAGGAAACAGGTCAGGACATTTCTCTAACAATGTGTTCCAGACCCTTTCATTTCACTCCCTCGGCAAAGGTTGAGACTCATCGCCAATGCAACCTATGAACCCACTGGTGCGCACGCGAACTGTGCTGGTTGGATGTGGCTGGCGGCTTCAGATGGGCAGAAGACATCAGAAGCAGATGCGCGCAGTTGTTGGATGTTCGTGCTAGACATTCCCAGACTGTTTGATGCTTCTGCCCTTGCGAAAAGGAACAGTTGCTGAGTAGTTGATGCTCACGAGTTAGTTGACCCAGATGCGGCAGCCCATGCCCTGTCAGGCCGCGATTGGTTCTTCACTGGGGACTATTACTATCGCAATGGGCGACGAACACCAGGACAGCGGGTAAGCAGGTGCACTCTCTTCATGTGCACGGCTCAGTTCAACTGCTTTGCATGACCACTGGATTACTTCAGGACCACAAGACCGATGGAAGGCTTACAATGCAAAGGCGTGGCAGTCTGATCAGGGCCCCCGCAGCATGCAAGTGGATGGCGAAGGCGGCCAGTTCTCCGTGTGACGCGGAGGCAGTTTCCATTGGCTCCAGGGTTTGCAACCACCGCTCACGCAGCCCAAGGGCAAACTTGCAAAGAAGGCGTTGTCATGGACATGCACATTGGGGAAGCAGGCGACCCATTGACAGCTTACATTGCGTTAACGCGGGTCCAAGACAGGCATGGTTTGTTTGTGTACAGACCGTTCCCTGCAGCACCTTTTCAAAAAGGCGCAAAAATAGGGCGGGAATTGCTGTTGCGGTTCTGGGGTGGTGAAAAAATGGATTGGAGCGCGCTGCGAGCGAAATACCGAGACGAAAGGGAATGCAAAGAATGTAATGAATCAAAGCCGGCTTCTGCATTCACGGCTGGTCGATGGAAACGCACAGATGCGGCGAGAGTATGCAAAGAATGCATTCGTCGGCACGTTGAGAGGCAGATGCCGTGGCAATGCATGGCATGCACGGCCTGGAAACAGGAAGATGCATTCAAGGCAAAACATGCAAGCCCACAAGCCACATTTTATCGCATTTGTGCGACATGCGAACAGACGCAAGTGTGTAGTGTTTGCAATACGCGCAAGGACGAAAAGAAATATTCTGCCGGGGCGTGGAGACGAGCACGCACGGGCGGTAGAGTGTGTTTAGATTGTTCGGGTAAAGCATGGGGCCTGTGGAGATGCAGCGTCTGCAAGGTGAAGCAAGCAGCGTGCGCTTTTGAACCGTGGCTGGCGCAACATCGTTCTTGTAATGGTGACCAAGTCTGTAGCAACTGCTGGAAGTGCCCCATTCCCCGGGCAACCATCAGCAAAGCGGTACAGCGGGTAGCTGCAACGCAGGCAAAAGTCGCGAGGACGGCAGCGGAAGAAAAAAAAGTACGTGCCATCGCCGATGTCTGGGACGCCATCGCGGAACGAAAACGCAACAGAGAACAGGAGAGCTCCCAAATGAAGGACGCAGAGCCAAAGGCAAAACATCCCAAACAAGAGAACCGAACAGAAATGAGCACAGACGGGCCTGAAGATGGACGTGGCCAACGGGAAGACAGCGACGAAAGGCAGAGGGCGGTGCGGGCGACGACTGATGTCTGGGCTGCCAGCGTGGAACGAAAACGGAAAACAAAGGACACCGCCCAAATGCAGGAAGCCCAGCCGCAAGCAAAGCAACGTAGAGAAGACGGCGGAACGGAAAGAAGCACAGACAAGCAGGCAGAAATCAGCTGCAAGCAGCAGAGCAAGGGCAGCGCGACGGAGACGGTGACGTTGCTGGCAGATGGAGCACAAGCAGGGGGGAAAGGCAAGAGTTTCCAATATGTTTGTCCCGCTTGCCAAAAGTCTGTGAGGAGCAGTATACGCACGGGCCAAGTAGATCACCGGCGCGCATGTGATAACCGTTTCCAGGTGTGGGATGCGCAGGTCGTTGCGAAAGGGTATGTGTATATTTGCCCTGCTTGCAAAGGGAATGTGACCAGTGATGTGAAGACAGGGCAAATCGACCATCGAACGGTGTGTGGGAACAAGTTTTCTGTGAAGGACGGCGTTGTGAAGGACAAAGCGTATGTGTACGTTTGCCCCGCTTGCAAAGGGAATGTAGCCAGTGACGTGAAGACAGGGCAAATCGACCATCGAACGGTGTGTGGGAACAAGTTTTCTGTGAAGGACGGCGTTGTGAAGGACAAAGCGTATGTGTACGTTTGCCCCGCTTGCAAAGGGAATGTAGCCAGTGACGTGAAGACAGGGCAAATCGACCATCGAACGGTGTGTGGGAACAAGTTTTCTGTGAAGGACGGCGTTGTGACGGAAAAAGCGTATGTTTACGTTTGCCCCGCTTGCAAAGGGAATGTAGCCAGTGACGTGACGACAGGGCAAATCAACCATCGAACGGTGTGTGGGAACAAGTTTTCTGTCAAGGACGGCGTTGTGAAGGACAAAGCGTATGTTTACGTTTGCCCCGCTTGCGCAGGGAATGTAGCCAGTGACGTGAAGACAGGGCAAATCGACCATCGAACGGTGTGTGGGAACAAGTTTTCTGTGAAGGACGGCGTTGTGACGGAAAAAGCGTATGTTTACGTTTGCCCCGCTTGCAAAGGGAATGTGGCCAGTGACGTGAAGACAGGGCAAATCGACCATCGAACGGTGTGTGGGAACCACTTTTCTGTCAAGGACGGCGTTGTGAAAGAAAAAGGTGGCAAACGGCAGGCTTGAACGCCGAGAGGAAGCCATGGATCTGGCTTTGGGATACATTT